GCCTCCGCCTCCAAGTCGCAGAGGAGCACCGCCTCCGCCTCCACCTCCAAGTCGTGGAGGAGCACCACCACCGCCTCCGCCTCCAAGTCGTGGAGGAGCACCACCACCGCCTCCTCCTCCAAGTCATGGAGGAGCACCTCCACCACCACCACCTCCAAGTCGTGGAGGAACACCACCAACGCCTGCTCCGTATCGTAAAGCAGCTCCACTGCCAATCAATGGAGCACCACCTCCCCCACCGCCTCTAAGGGGTTGTTCACCTGGCCCTCCACCACCACCAGGAGCTCCAAGACCTCCCAGTGGTGCACCTCCTCCACCTGGGAGAGGCATTTCCCCTGGGAAAGCACGTGGACCTTATGGGAGAGCACCTCCTACTGTAGCCCCTCGAAGATCGACCTTGAAGCCACTGCATTGGAGTAAGGTAACCAGAGCAGTACAAGGAAGTTTGTGGGAGGAATTACAGAGAAACGGAGAACCTCAAATGTAATGATCTATACCTTGGAAATTCAGAATACATTTTTCTTTTCAAATATCATGAGATCAATGACGCTCTGTTCTCGTGCAGGGCACCAGAGTTTGATGTTTCAGAACTCGAGACTCTTTTCTCTGCTGTAGCCCCAAAGTCAGATAAAGGTGACAAAAGTGGAGGACGACGAAAATCTCTTGGATCTAAGCCTGATAGGGTTCATCTGGTAATAAGATATAGTTACATAAAGTAAAATTAAATTTGGGAAGGATGACATCATAAGAATTGGTAGTTCTATTTCATTGTATGTGCTTTTATATCTTTATGATTGATTGATGGTCCTTGTGATTCTGCATAATCTTCCTTGGATACTATGCACCTTTTTGGTAGACATTTTCCCCTGAACCACTGTTACCACTCTATCCGATTTCTTGAGCTGCATGAATCTTGACCTCTCTCCGTGCAAGCACATTTAGCACTTTTCAGTTTTCACTTGTTAAAACTCAAAACTATTCAAAATTTCCATAATTTGTTTAGATGGTTATGAAGTAGAAAATATTCATGAGCTCTTCAGTGTGTTCAATGAGCATCAAAGAGGCTGTTGTTTCAAGTGTGACAGTGCTATTAATAAATCCCACCCCCCACACATATGTCTCAATTGAAGGGTTGTGTTTGTCATACTGTTTTTTGGTATTAGAAATATTACTCCGCTGCCCTCCCCCCACCCCCCCACACACACTGACACACACTTTGTGTTGTGTAATTTTCAACTCAGTTGATAGATTGGAAGTTGTTCTTATATTTTCAAGATTTAATTTTCTATGAATGGTTGTAAGTAATTAGTAACCACTACCCCGTATAATATACGATTGAATATTTCCTGATGCAATAAATAAGCTTCAAAACTACAGGTTAGGTTTTATCCACTGAACCTATAAATGGAATGCTACTCAGTACTCATTGTCCAAAACTGATTGATCTAGCGTCTCTTGGTACGCTTAAGGAAAGACAACATCATTACATGTTCCCTATGTATGTTGGGTGTTATAAACTTATAATTATCAAAACCTTTTTTTGTATGTTGGAAAAGAATGATTAAAACCCTCACAATCATTTTTTTTGTTTTAATTTTATCTTTTTTACTTGTTTCTTTTTTATTTTTGATGGATTGAATTCATTAGTTCAGAGGATAATTACTCCATAGAGCCATATAATTGTTTCTTTCTATTTCCTCTCTCCATTGACACAGCACTTGTTATTTATTATTATTATTATTATTATTATTATTATTATTATTATTATTTTGCATTTGATAGGTTGATTTGAGAAGGGCCAACAACACTGAAATTATGCTAACGAAAGTGAAGATTCCACTTCCAGACATGATGGTAGGTTTTTGAATATTCATGTTTGGAACATCTTCAAATGTTCATTCCATTGCAAGCACTCTGAGATGCATACTTATTATTTTAATAGTAAGGATAAATATAAAATTAATGGCCTCATGCAAAAAATTCAATTTCGTTTTGAACTCAATGATTTGGCTGCAGCCTTAGGGCCATTAGTTTACAAGAACTATAACTATAACAAGAAACCTAGGAAAATCCTACAAGAGTGAGGTGTGGGGAGGGTGAGTGTACACACCTTGCCCTATTTGGAAACTAGAGAGGATGCTTCCAAGAGACTGTTTTCTTTAGAACAATGGCCAAGAATAGTACTTAATTTTACCTAAGAATCAGATTATATTTGAACCAAATTAGACACACACATAGACACACACCATCAACCACAAAAATAAGTCTGAAGAAAACATAATTTTGTCAGAAAAAGTCTTATGTCAAGGAAAAAAAATCTATGTTTCTTCTCATTTTATATCTTTTTTAGTCTAGATATGCTAAGCAAGTTGAGTGTGTTAAATTTATTTCAACCAACAAATAAATTTTAAAATATAGCTATAACAACAACAAACCCATTAAAATCCCTCAAGGTGGGGTTTGGAGGGTGGGTGTAGACATACCTTACCCCCGTTACCTAGATACCTAGAGAGGCCATTCCCAAGAGATCTTAGAAAAAGATATATATGATGGTTTGCAATTCTTGTACCTCACAAAACTTAAAACGTCTTTCCTTAATGAGATGTGATTTTTTTATAGGATGGACACATAGTATATACTCCCTCTGCCCCAAAACTAGAGCCACACTTTCTAAATTGGGCATCCCAAAGCTAAAGTCAAACTTCCTTTTTTGGCATAACCAACTCACTGAAAGTACTATAATACCTCTACCTTTTTAATCACTTTTTCTATCTTTTCAATCACTTTTACACCACTCTGTTTTTTTGAACCCAACCAACCTACCCTTTTTATCAAATTTTCTGCCTTTTCAATTAGTTTACTCTCTCTCTCTCTCTCTCTCTCTTATTCCAACTCACATCACATCAGAGGCTGAATTGGAAAGTCAACACCACTCTTCAATTTACCTTAATTTGTGCTAAGTCAAACCTTGACTATCTGTATGGGAAGAGCGGAGTATTTTTCCCCTTTCTTTTTTGTTTTTCATTTACTTTTTCCTATTTTTCCTTTTTTGGAGGGAGTATATATAAGAGAGTTATATATACTATGTAGTATGTGTGTGTATTCATATATACGGAGTATGTGTGTGTGTATGTGTATCTATACACACATGTACCCAAGAAAAAGGTGTTGAAAATAAAAGGTGTTTTGTGAAAAGCAAAAAGTGTGTGGTTGAAACTTACTCCCTCCGTCCCACTGTTTTTCTCTAGTATTCCATTTTGGGATGTCCCACTGTATTTGTCCACTTTCTATTTTTGGTATGTCTAAAATCTTCAAAAGGTCTATTTTACCCTCTAAAATTTGTACAATATTCTCCCTTCTCTCCTCAATCTGCGAATAACTCTGATCCTATATTATCCGTAAGATCTAGAAGCACTCTTGTTAAACATCAATGATTTGCCAATTTCAAGGATCTTCCTTCATCCTTGATTTGCCAATTCTATGGATCCAAATCTCACATCCTCTGCCTTCCAGTGGCGGAGAAACGATGGAGATGGAGGTAGAGAAACAACGAGGATGGTGGCGGCGGAGCAAGGACGAGGATGGCGGCAGAGCAACGATGAGGATTGCGACCAGATTGAATAACAATTGTCTCAGTCGGAAAAGAATGGACATGACGGTGAGGCAAATTCCAAGTTAAAAGCCAACAAAAATTTGTTCGAAAAGGAAGCTAGTAAAGAACTAGAAGCGATGGTGGGCAATGCTTTGTGATTGGGAGGTACAAGCTTGACAATAAGGATGAGAGCAGCAGTGAGGAGTCAAACAATGAATTGTTAGATTGAAAGATAAGGGCATTTGTGATCTTTCTATCTAATTTAACCCCCTCCTTAGTATTTGTGCCAAAACAAAAGTGGACGAAGAGACTGGGATGGAGGGAGTATTTAGAAGCAAGAAATCATAAATGCTACATATTCATTTTCTAAAAGAGAAAGTGGAAGAGTGTAAATGTATTTTGGGACATCCAAAAAAAGATAGCATAAACATCATTTTGTGGGACAGAAGGAGTATAGTTCTATCCTATTTTTCAGCTACCGGCCTCTAATACAAATATTGTGTACATGCATATATGATTATATACTCCATTTGTTCCTCGATGAAATTTACACTTTCCTTTTCTATTCATCCCAAAATAAACTTCACATTTGTCCTGTTTCATTTTTGGAAAGGACTATGTGGCTTACATCGTTTTTTTATTTTCTAAACATATTCCAGCCACACTTTTCAACTCTTCTCTTTGATTCCATAAAGTCAAAATGGATATACGTGTGTGTGTGTGCGCGCGCGACTGCATGACTGCAAGCATGCATGCATGTGTACGTATATATATGCACATACACATCACTACATTCACACACATTGTGTGTGTGTGTATATTGGTGCCCATGCTTTGAGCTAGTGACAATAGCTTTATTTTTACGCAAGAGAGAGGCAGACTGAACTTCTTTAGTCCTTCACTCCATCTGGCCTAAAATGAGGTTTTGGGTTTCACCCATATGCCTTTTAGGAAAGGTGAAAAAATTGTTGTCACAAATTATTTAGAGCGAAATAACATGAAATACAATCTTTTCCGTAAAAGATGCTAGAGCTTTATTTTGGAACATATTTAAAGGGAAATAAGAAGCCACTTTGTGGAATGGAGGGAGTATTTTTTATTTTAACATTCTTGGTCTTTTTAAGACACTTCTCTCTAACATTTATCTCTATTTTTTTCAACTTTCCCCATCCCAAATATATTCATGCAGGCTGCTGCATTGTCTATGGATGAGTCCATCTTGGATGCTGATCAAGTAGAAAATTTAATTAAGTTCTGTCCCACAAAGGAAGAAATGGAACTTCTTAAGGTGAAATTAACTAGTCTTTCCATTGTTTCTTCAGATGTAATTTAAAAAAACATAGTTCCTCTCTGGAAACTAAACTCCTGCCTGCAAAATCATAAAAAAAGCATAATGAATCTACCTTACCGTCTCTCTGAATCTAAGTGTGTATTCATTTATCTGTTACTTCATAGAATTACACAGGTGACAAGGATAATCTGGGGAAGTGTGAACAGGTATGCCCCTATATGGTATTCTGCTGTACTGTATTGCGTTGTGTGTGTCTGGAAGAGTTTGTATTTTCAACAGTTACCCCTCCATAGACTTTTTTTATTGGGTACCACTCACTGCACTCAGGCTGTATTTTTTACTAGGCACCACTCTATAGAGAAATATTCTTTTTATGATCAAAACTAAAATGTGCACACATTTTAATGCAATGATCAAATGAAGTCCAAAAGGATCATATAATTGTTGATCTTGAATCTAACAGTTGTGACTTGTGAGTTGTGAGACTTAATACCAATGGATGAGTATCTTTATTTGGGTTCTGTTGCAACTATATAAATAGTTAAATACACAAACACACACATGTATGTATTCACACACACACACAATCTGTCTCATATATGTACACACACATAAAGTGTGTGTGAGAGGAGAGTTAATGCTACACCAATTATTTATACTTCAATTCTTACCACACTTATATCTTTCACCTGTTTTCCTACAAAACCCATGATAGAATCCAATACATAAATCATCTTGTACTTCAGGAAAATCCAAAGTTATAAGTTGTTTCACACAAAAGTGACTAACTCATAGTATATTCTTATGTTTTGTAACTAGCTATTACATTGTTTTGTTCTATTGAATGAAGTACAGAAATGTTTTTTATGGTTATGGAATTTTAGCAGAATAATTTTATGGTGGGTTTCGCACGAAGAAAATTCAAGTGGCCGTAAGAATTGATGTATTAATAATAGTTGTAACTTAACTATCTACTTTTCCACCGACAATGTTAACACTTCAATGACATTATCATTCCCATTCTTACCACTAACCTTTCAAGTCCCCAGGATTTTCATTTCTCAGTTGCCCACTCCAAACAGGAACACACTATTAGTGTGTCAACTAATTTCTCCTTATATCCATTGTGAATTAAATATGCTCTAATTAGATCATCTATTGGCATGACATGCTCTTAATTTTCTTTACTTATTTTGAAAATTTCAGTTCTTTCTAGAACTCATGAAGGTACCACGGGTGGAATCCAAATTAAGAGTTTTTCTCTTCAAGATTCAATTTAGTTCACAGGTTTTTACACACATTTAGTTTTCTGAAGTTCTAGATTGTTTTTTCGTCTAATATTGGCTCTTTTTTCAGGTTTCAGATTTCCGAAAAAGTTTAAGCACTGTGAACTCTTCTTGTGAAGAGGTATTACAATGGACGGATGTTAATATTCTTTTTCATTTTATTATGTTCCCACCCCCTAAACTTCTTTTAGGTCTACTTCTGCTTTAAGTAACTTATGCAAGCATCAGGTCCGGAATTCTTACAAACTGAAAGAAGTCATGTGGATAATTTTACAACTGGGAAACACATTGAACCAGGGAACTGCCAGAGGTATGAATATCTAGACTGAGATGGTCTCTCACTTCTTTATACTCGAACAAAGGAGAAGTACTTATCTGCCTTGTTATCGGTGTTTGAATTTTATTTTATTCTTTGTTTTTAATTTCTTTCTCGTCTATACGAAAACAAGGCAGAGGTATGAATATCTAGACTGAGATGGTCTTTCCTCTTGAATACTCGAACAAAGAAGAAGTACTTATCTGCCTTTTTATCGGTGTTTGAATTTATTTTTTTATTCCTTTTTTTTAATTTCTTTCTCGTCTATACAAAAACTTCTAATCCCCAACAATGGTACTTATTTAACGACATATTACTCTCTCCGCCCTAATATATTCATCCACTTTCTTTTTTCACGAGTTGAACGTTTTTATCAAACATATTGAATTAGAAAAGCTACATAAAAATTTATATGAAACTAATTTGCAAGACAGTTTCTGAATCCATTACTATTATTTTAATTATCTTAAAATGTATTTTTTACTTAAGTTATTGTCTAAGACTCAAAGTTCATTAAATTTGACACCAAAAAAGTAAACATGGTGAATACATTGTTAGATTTAATCGTATTGTTTAATTCCTGGTTAGAAGTTAGTTAGTTTAGATTTAAATTTTAAAAAGAAAAAGGGCAATTATGGGTAGTTATTTCTAGAAGTTAGAGGTAGTTATTTCTAGAAGTTGTATTAGTTAGTAATAGATGTGTTGATTAGTACCAATAGTTGTGTTGGTTGCTGTCTATAAATACTCCAGGAACATAGAATTCCTGTATGTAGTTCACAATAAAAAACAGAATTTTATTCTGCATTTGATTTGTTCTTCCTATTATTTTTTCTAACAATTGGTATCAGAGCATATAAGAAAAGGGAGATCTGCCAAATCGTATAACGGAGCATTAGATACTTCCTTGACAACAAATCAAAATCTTTGACTAGATTCTTCCTCGCCTAGGACAAGAATAGCAAGTGGCTATTTTTTCCTTTGGCAGAAGCATTCCAACCAAACAGTCCGGGAAAAACGAATCAGCGGGGTAGCTTTCGTTTAGTGGCTTGGAAGACGGAAAAGCAGCGGCTTGTCTTCTGGTTGATGGTCGATTGCAGGTGGCTTATCACCCAGGAAGGAATCAAAGTCTAAGAATTTCGTGAAAATTGTCATAGGAATTAAAGTCGTGCAATGGAAGACAATAGACAGATTGTGACTACAAGGGAGAATAGTTCACTATCTTTTACGGTTCCAATTCTTACTGCTACAAACTACACTATTTGGGCCGTGAAGATCAAAGCAATTTTTAATGTTAATGGGATTTGGGAGGTGATCGAACCAGGAACAGAAATTGATCCAAAGAAGAACAATATGGCAATAGCATATCTGTTTCAAGCTTTGCCGGAAGAGATCGTGTTACAAGTTGCTCAGTTTACCGAAGCAAAAGCAATTTGGGATGCTTTGAAGACTCGCTTCGTTGGTGTTGACAGTGTTAAAGCGGCGCGATTACAGACACTTGAATCAGATTTTGAGACTCTAAAGATGAAGAACAATGAGTCACTTGATGATTTTGCTGGTAAATTTAGTCAACTTGCAACACAAGCAAACAACCTTGGGTCTGCATTTGAAGACAAAAGATTGGTTCGAAAGCTTTTGGGTTCTGTGCCTGAAAAGTTCATACAAGTCGTTGCTGCAATTGAACAGTTTGCTGACATTAACACAATGCCGTTTCAAGAAGCGGTGGGAAGATTGAAAGCATTCGAGGAACGCATCAGAAAGCCAACTGAGGAAGGAGATACACATGGTAAACTATTATTCACTAAAGGTGATGGAAAAGAGAAGGTTCAGGAGCACAAATGTGAGCATTGTGGTTGCTGGAGCTCGAACCGAGAAGACTTTGGACGTGGCCGAGGTAGAGGTCGGGGGTCCGGGAAAGGTCAGGATGGTGGTCGGTTTCAGCGGGATAAGAGTCACATTAAGTGTTTCAAGTGCAATGCGTTAGGACATTTTTTGAACGAATGTCCAAAATGGGATCAAAAGGAAGACATTGCAAATTTGATTGAAGATGATGATGAACCAACATTATTGTGAAGATTAGTGTGAACAAACAAGTGAAACAACGATTAGGGGGGGGGGTGATTGTTAGATTTAATCAGATTGTTTAATTCCTGGTTAGAAGTTAGTTAGTTTAGATTTAAATTTTAAAAAGAAAAAGGGCAATTATGGGTAGTTATTTCTAGAAGTTAGAGGTAGTTATTTCTAGAAGTTGTATTAGTTAGTAATAGATGTGTTGATTAGTACCAATAGTTGTGTTGGTTGCTGTATATAAATACTCCAGGAACATAGAATTCCTGAATGTAGTTCACAATAAAAAAAAGAATTTTATTCTGCATTTGATTTGTTCTTCCTATTATTTTTTCTAACATACATTGGGACAAAGGAAGTAGCTTATAAATCCTGCACTCTATTTTTAGTAATCTTGAAAATTGTGTGCATTCCAACAGTACTCTCTAAATTCATGTCTCTATTAATAACTTTACTAAACAAAAAGTAAGTGAAGAAGTGATATAATGATAGAGAAAAAGGTTATGGTTTGTGAGCCACTATTTCCCTAATCCCTCAATAGATTTAAAAAGAGTAACAAACAAACAACAACAACCCAGTTGAATCCCACTACAGTAGGGTGGGGAGGGTGTCTGTACGCAGACCTTGCCCCTACTCGGAAGCAGGGAGGCTGTTTCCAAGAGACCCCCGGCTCAACCTGCACAAAAAATATGGTAGGGAATGCAGTATAACACGGATAAAGCACCAAGTACAATGAAATGAAAGTTCTGCAAGCAATAGTAAAAGATTCCAATCAAACACAACACACTACAAAAAACCTCTGGGAAGATTTAAAAAGAGTATCTTTCAAAATTTACAGGGAAAGCGTTTATTTTAAGAGTTCATTGGATGATTTTTTTTATTATTGTTAACATCACCCTGTAACTTTAGAGGATGAGGGTAATAGGGGGGGAGTTTGTTGGACATGCCTTTTAGGTTGTTGAAATACCAACTCCTGCACACAATGAATTGTATGGGCACACCCACTGAGATGATTATTATCGAGTATAAGGATTTTTAAGTGTATCTACCCTGCACACCATGAATTGTATCGGCACACCCACTGAGATGATTATTATAGAGTATAAGGATTTTTAAGTGTATCTACCGTATTTCATTCATAGAAAAGAAAACAATGATTGCTTGCTTCAATAATTTTGGCATGGTGATCAGATTTACATGGGCCCACATATTATTTATCAAAGTGCATCTAATATATGCTTTTTTCTTTGAATTTAGGCATTTGAACTCAAACTCCAAGCAGTTTGGATATGCATATCCTGAATAACTGTTTACATTGATTTTAAGTAACCAATTTCTGCATAGAGGCTTTGAGAATCTACAACATGATTATATTGGATAAGCACATTACAATAATGCAATATTCTAATACAAATAATAAATTAGTTATTCTTTACTGAGCATCAATCAGCCGCTCTGGATGGCCAACTTTATGTTATCTGTATTGTAAGTGATTAAAGTACACCCTCAGGGTTAAGTTCAATATATCTACCTTTTCCAGGTTCAGCTGTTGGATATAAGTTGGACAGTCTTTTAAAACTAACAGATACTCGTGCCACTAACAACAAGATGACCCTCATGCATTACCTTTGTAAGGTAATGAACATATCTTCGTATCCCAGCTTGTTTGTTTGATATTTGATTTTCTCGTATTTCGCTTATGCTTCATGCAGATGAATTCTGTCATTACTCTTAAATATTGAGGCCAAAAAGACTTCATAGGTGTAAGCATAAAACTATATTAGGGGGTATCTGATACACTGTTTTTTTGTATATTACATTTTTTCATTTTTTCAGTTTATCATTGTAACAACTTAATTTACAAGAGAAAGGATAGATAAACAATGGTTGTAGCTTTCCTGGATGGTTACACTATTGTGACATAATTTCACCTTTATTAATAAACATGCTCAGGAAATCTGGGTTTAGATTAGTTGGGTAGACCTATAGTTTGTAGTTTTTTTGGTGTGTTGTTTGCCTTAGTCTGTTGTGTCCTTATATGCTTTAAGTCTAGTTCTTAGAGTCCGCTTGTTTGCTTCTTTTGCTTCTTTTGTCCTTGTTCTTACTTTATGCATGCTTCAGTAGCTTCTTTGTTTGTACTTTTGTCAATGAGCCGGGATTCTTTTGGAAACAACCTCTCTTTCTAGAGGGATGTTACCGGTTTTGTTTTTGAACATGTAATAAACTTGCCCAGTCAAATGTGGAATCTTAATTCGGGACAGAGGGAGGCTTTTGGAAACAACCAAAAAGAAGGATGTTATTGGGTTTTTTTGTACATGTAATTGACATACCCAGTCAAATGTGGAATCTTATTTTGGGAGGGACGGAGTAGATATTAGCACAAAAATGGAATGCATGATTTATATGCTCATCTATGTCTCTGACATTGTAAGGTTTTGATGATTCAGTCATGTTCACTACAGAGGGTATTGCAATGGTCTAAATTATGCATTTTCAATATATCCGACCGAATTACGATCATCCAATGGCACAAGCATCTTTCAATGCATGATGATTTTGTGTTTGAGTGAGTGGTTCTACTTATGGATTGACGCATGATTATCAATATATAATCAACATTCATAAGTTTTGTTGCTTGTTGTAGAGAATTGACTTGGTTGTGCTTGCTATCCTAGTTTTGTGTTCCAATGACTAAATCTAGTTTTCTGATTCTGCACTTTTCTTCATTATATCTAATTTTTGAGTGGTTCCACGCTCTTATTCTTCCCCACCACTCAAGTTAGTATTTTGTGGTTTTGAGGTTGTATTTGCTAAATATTTGATTTCTCATCCATCAGGCTCTTGCTTCACGGTCACCCGCACTTCTGGATTTTCATGTGGATTTTGTAAGCTTAGAAGCTGCATCAAAGGTTATTATTTAATTTCTGTGTTGTTTATGATCAATCAAAACATAATAACTAAATGACACAAAATATGAGTATTTTGTACTAAAATTTTGTTTTACCCTCAGATACAATTGAAATCTTTGGCAGAGGAAATGCAAGCTATCATCAAGGGATTGGAAAAAGTAAAACAGGAACTGACTGCATCTGAGAATGATGGTCCTGTATCTGAAATTTTCCGCAAGGTATCTTGAATGGTATTTTAGTTTCGCATTCAGCTGCATTTCACTGTTTTTCATCTCATAAGCCAACAGTCTATCTAGATTCATCACACGGAAATTAAAAAAATTATTTCAACATTGAGATAAAAATTTTTTTTTGGGGGTGCATTATGTTTTCTATTTATTTAGTTATTATAACCTTAACTCAAATCTTATAGATACTATAATGGCCTTAGTCTAATAATAGTAATTAACCCTAGATTATGGTTCTACGAAGGACTTGTCTCCTAAATAAGACTCGCCATGTAACCATGTATAAGCTTGAATTATAATATAGTCTTGTTTCTTTCAAAAGGTGTTATAATGTACTCGGCAAATGTTATGTTTTCAATATATTTTCTGTTCATTTATTGGTTATTACTTATTGCTAGAATTTAGGATGGGTAGGGATCACTGTACTTGGTCATAAGACACTTGGGTTAAACCACATTAAAAGATTGAATCCAATCAATTACTTAGTTCAACTCAAGAGCTTATATACCGATTACTTGTCTCTTCTACTTTTTAATGGGATACTTTAACACACCCCCTCAAAAAGCTAAGGTTTCACGCGCAAGAGCTGAAGAGGCCATATCTGCATGTGAGGGGACATGCTAGAATATAAAAACCTTTCTTGGGCCACAACCACAAGCTTGAGCTTTTGATTTGATTGAGTTGGTTCTTTAACATGGTGTCAGAGCTCGAATCTTCCTAGTTGTTTGGATGGGGGTTTAGCAGTATGAGCTACCTATTGGTGGTTTGGGTTGAGTTGGCTATAAGAGATTGAGATGTCACTGCCCGTTGTGTGGGCTAGCTATAAGACATTGAGATGCTAGACCTGTTGTCCAAGTGCTAACTAGACTAGGCTAGTTACCACTTTAGGGGGAGTGTTGCAGTTCCCATATTGGAAAACAAAGAGATATACCACTAGCATATATGGAAGGGTGAAATCCTACCCATCAACTTAAGCTTTTGTATTAGAAAAAGTGGATCCTGACTCTATATGCAAGTGATTAATTTTACATGACACTCTGTCCGTTGTTGTCCGTTGTTCTTGGACCACCAGAATTTGAACACTTATTATAATTACTCCCTCCATCCCTCTTTAATGTACACTTTTGGTTTTTTTACAAAGTTAAAGAAAATGAAATTCTTGAAATTTATTTTGAAGCGAAATAATCAATAATTCAATATGGACCACTAAATACTATCACCCAAAATGGAAGATGGGATGATTAAAAGGAGACAGGGAGTACATGCTATCATTGCATTTTAGAAAATTTGGTAGTCATCTTCTGTACATTAAACTTCTTATTTCTCTAAATATTTAAACACCTCACAAACTTAGGTCCAACAAATTGGAAGCATGAATGTACACTCCCCCCTGCAGAAGGTTTTGTAGCCTTCGACAAGGCAGTTTCCACCACCCGAGCTCCTAACACATAAGCCTTATGCACTGCTGACACCGGAGAACTTACACAACAGCACATGATGGCCTAAGGCTGGTGAGAAACCCAATCCGTTACTGCCGAGACTGTACTCCTCCCCATTACACTCCGTTTTCCATGGTCTCGCTTCTGATATTTTTATTTGGTAAACAGTATTTTGTGGCTACCACCAGGCACTTGCACACTCGGCAGAGATCAGACCCTTGCCCCACTCTCCTGGCTGCCTCCTGGGGCCTTGCCATTATTATCTGCTCAAAGGCTGATGCAGTGCCACGGTAGCTCAAAAGTTGTTTGTCCCAATCATATCACTCGCTGTAGATCTCAAAAGTTTAAGAATGAGCATACATGTTTGACTTCTTGATTGGTAGTTACTAGTGCTTATTTCCAGACTTATCATAGGTGGTTACTCTATGGTCTCAACTCTCAAGTACTATAGGAAGTAGGAAGTGATGTCTCTGATAAGTTAGGGACAGATTATAAATATGCAGTTTTGTGAGTTCACTTTTCAATGGAGGTGGGCATATGGAAAGGTATATACTAACAAAAGACAACATCAAAAACAGCGTAAACTGATTTGTTAACGGACAATAGCTTTGGTGCATAACATGAGGCATCCACATCTAGGTTGTAAGTGAACTAGTTTGTCGTGCGCTCGTTAGAAGTGGGCTAGGTCTGCTAGATGTATGCTAAGACTCCCGAATAGAGCTGGCAAATCGGTCGGTCAAGTTGGGTTCGGTCACTTCGGGTTTGGGTCAATTCGGGTTCGGGTTAAAAACTGTGTGTTCATGACCCAGTATCATCGGGTTCGAGTGGACCCAACGGATTATAACTTTGGTTTTTAAAATTTTTAAATTCATATTAGCACCTGCATTTCACATTAAATAAAATTAAAATATCAAAAAAATATGTATGGAATCTATTATATTATTTTATTCTAATTTCTGAAGTAATTTTTAGGCATATAAAGCAATATAAAGAATTGAAAAAATGCACAATTTTGGAAAAAGTAAAATATTTATGCAATATCATTAAAATTTTGTTTGGAAGTATAAATTTATACACTAAAAATGAGTAGTGAGAAAAAAATACAATTACAGCCTTATATTTACAACATTATACTCCCTCCGTCCCTATTTTGATTACAATTTTTTCTCTCTCCTCTCGATAACTTTTGTAAGTTTTGTTTATTTACACAATTAAGTATTGGATAAAATAAAATATTCTTCTCACCTCTTGTTTTGTAGAACTTTTGACATAGTTTTTTACTTTTTTAATATGTAATTTTTATTTCTTATTCATATACCGATTTGTAAATAAAATAATTTCAAAAAGTGAGAAATTTTTCCTCGTAAACCCCAATTTGTAATCAAATCGGGGACGGAGGGAGTATTTCATAGTAATGTATATTGTTAGACAGGACCAACCGACCAAATCAAAGCAAAGTAGAATATTTTATTGATGTAAAAACTGTACAGGATTATTTGTGTTCTCTAAATATAAATAGAGAACAGACCAACATGACTTTTACTAACCAACACAACTATTACAAACCAACACACCTATTAACAATAGAAACTACCCATAACTGCCTTTTAGAAACTACCCACTGTTTTTTTAATTAATTAAATATGTAAAACACACTAAACGACACCACACTATTTGACTCCATACTAACTGACCCGAACATTGACTCATTATCCATTCGGTTATATGTGAACAAACCCGATTATATCTAACAATCACGCCCCTAATCGTTGTTTGTTCACACTGATCTTCACAGCAACGTTGGTTCATCATCATCTTTAATCAAATTTGCAATGTGTTCCTTTTGATCCCATTTTGGACATTCGTTCAAAAAATGCCC